GTGTCCGCAAGGACGCGCCGCCTGCCCCGGCCCCGGCCCAAGCCCCCGCCCGAGGCCAGGCGCTGCTGCGGGCCATAGGTACCGTCAACGCCTTGACGGCAGCCACGTACCCCAAAGCAGGAGCCGAGCCCCCCGAAAAGAAAACTCCGAAGAAGTCGCTGGCACCCCCTACCACTGGCCCACCTCCCGAAGGAGACTGAGGGACTCCTGCCCTACCATCAGCAGACATCAAGAACCTAGGGAAGCAGGCCCTGGCCTTCCGGGACTCAGTTTCCTCATCTGTAGAACGCAGCCGTTGTGAAGAAGGGGCTGCACAAACTTTTAATTTAACTCCACAAAGATTTATTGTGGACCCACCGACCACTGTTTGTAGCGCCAAAAGCCGGCACCACGCCGGCCTTCCCTGAAGGAGCTTCCGATTTAAGGAGCAGGCCAGATACCCGGATAACTGGAATCCAAGGGAGAATGCGATCAGTACTAAGGAGGGGGCTAGTAGGCTTGAGGAGTGCCTGAGGAGCTCCAGCAGAGATGTCATTGTCACCATCTGAGGACCGGCAAGGAAGGCTGCTCAGAGGAGAAGTCCATGAAGGGAGGGCATCCCAGGGCTGGGGAAAACCCGAGCCGAGACACAGTGCCTGAAAAGGGCGCACCCCCCGCCCCCATCCACGCCGATGGTTCACACTGAGCCAAAGTGAGGCCGAAGAGGTATGGAGGTAGATCACCTGGCCTCTGGTGTCAAGCTGAGGCATTTCTATAGGCACATCCCTCACCATTGTGTGGAGGCTTGAGAAGGGCTGGCACCACTTCCGCTAGGCTCCAACCTTGGAGGGTCTGGGCTCAGGGACCTTAGCGGGGTTTGGGGAGTCAAAGAGAAAGGGAGCAAAGGGTGGGCTCTGTATGCCAAAGAGCCCTTAGAAACCAGAGGCGTTCTGACTCAGGGGACTGAATTTCTGGAAGGAGAAGAGAGCATGGCCTTCTTCCCCTCCCCTCTCTCCAGGACTCTGAAGCAGCCCTACTAGGATTATTGTCCCCATTTTACAGTTAAGGAAATGAGTCCCGGAGAAGAGACAGGACTAGTCTGAGATTCATATACCTAAAGATAGTGGAGGGTGGGTGGGATTCAATGCTTCCATTCCAGGTGACCAGGCAAGCCCTGATTTGGTCTCCTATGACCTTCATTCCACCCAGTCTTTCCAAGAGAATCGGGAAGAGTGGGGATGCCTCAGGGCAGCTCAGTGCTTGTGTCCTGCAGCCCAGGGCAGTGGTTGTGTGGCTCGGGGCCAGCCCTGCCCTAACTCTCACTACCTTAAGCCCCAGGGGCCCATGCCAATCAAGCTACCCTAAATATGGATGGAGTCCTGCTGGCTTTGGAGTCAAGGGGCCTGGCTTGTGTCTGCCAGAGTTACTCCTCTTTCCAAGCTTCCATATCCTCCTTCAGGGTGTGCTTGGGGCATCGGTTGCCTGCCGCAGAGGGGAGGGACCTTCAGAGAGTGGGAAATTAGGTGGTCTCTACCCAGGCTCTTACTACTGGAATTATGTTATATTTAGTACCTGCTGAGACTGGAAGAGGAGACAGGGCCTGAGAGAATCAGGTGTGTCAGCCGTATACCAAGCAGCTGTGACTGGGGAGTGTCAGCCTCTGACCAGGCAGCGCCTTGGATTATCTAGCCCCTAGGACTCACTGGAGCCAGCACTGCCCATTATCAGCCTCTCACTGGCCAGCATTGCCCAGCTTCTTGGTCTCACTGGGCACTGGTGCCTGGACGCTTATCTTCACCCAGACTCACAGTCTGATCCCAGAAGATTTCACATGCCCTCACCCCATCCTTGGAAATGAAGTCTGTAAGAAGTCATCAGTTGATAAATGGAGTTTATTAACAAAACTTGGCCTCTTCTCCATGTTGGCCCAGCCCCCGGGGTACAGGGAAAGGGGGGGGAAACACGAGCCCAGGCTAGGATCCAGGCAGTTCACAGGGCACAGAACTGGAATGAGCAGCCCTGAGGGTCCTGGCCCCCAGAAGGGCTAGTGTACCTTGTGCTTGAGGGGATGTTGTGATGGAGGATGAGGAAGGGAGTGGGGAAGGGATGAGGAAGGGAGTGGGGAAGGGATGAGGAAGGGAGTGGGGAAGGGATGAGGAAGGAAGGGATGGCACTGCATGTAAGGTACTGGGGAAGAAAGAAGACAGGTATGGCTGAGCCCAGGAGGGGGTTGGCATGGCTGAAGTCAGAGGATAAACATAAGAGGGGAGGGGGTGTAATTAGCTGTAGAACATAATGTCAGGGCTGGAAGGGCCCTTAGAACAGGGATTGTCAGAGCTGGGAGGAGCTTTAGAATATGGAATGTCAGTGCTGGGGGGAGGTTTAGAACAGGGAATTTTGGAGCTAGGAGGGCAACCTTAGCTCAGACTGCTAGAGCTGGGAGGGGAACTTTAGAACAGGGAATGTCAGACCTGAGAGGGGAACCTGAGAACAGGGACTGTCAAAGCTGGGAGGGACCTTAGAATAAGGAATGTCAAAGCTAGGAGGGGAACCTTACAATAGGGGCTGTCAGAACTGGAAGGGGCCTTAGAACAGAATAACATGTGAGGGTTGAACTGGGTAATCCCTAAGGTCCCTTCCAGCTTTGGATTCTGTAGCCCTAGGAATATATACACTTGGAAAAACTTTAGAGACCTAGAAACCAACCTAGAAGTGTTTGAGTGAGCGGCAGATGCTGAGGCCTGGAGAGGGGAAAGCCTTCTCGGCCCCTGGCCCTCCCGTCATATCTCACTGAATCTCCAGCAGGCGTGGAACTCCCCAAGCCCTTTTATATCCACCATTGAATCTGATGTTCAACAAGCCTGTCGAGTCTGTAGAGCAGGGGTTTCCCGCCATTTGATTGATGAAGAAGGTAGGGCCCAGAGAATCCAACCAATTTCCCTAAGGTCACACAGCAAGCACCAATGATGGTCCCCAGCACTTCCTTGGCTCCAGGCTCTTTCCCCCCACACTGACACTCCCATAGGGAGCGCTTGGGGAACCACCAGGAACACTGAGAGTGGGGAAAGGCTGGGCCAGAAGGACAAGTATGAAGAGGGTCAAGGCGCTCCCGCCAAGCCAGGCCCCCACCCTATGCTGAGGAGCAGGCAGAGCAGGGCCCACATTTCTGTCAGAAGGCAGAAGGGTGGGGCACTGCTGACTGTGGCATCCGGGGAGGCCAAGACCCTTCGGGCCCCAATCGGCTGGGCTGGGCGAAAGTTGTTGATCATGCTGACAGCTTGAGCGCCAGGGGGACTGGCCTGTAGGGTGGACACAAACTGGGCCAGCTGGAAAGAGGGAGAAAGTTCCTGCAGGTCAAACACTCGGGAGGAGAGCCACTGCCCTCACACCTCCATTGGGCTGGAAGGGCCACTGAAGCCCCCAACCTCTTCCTGGAGATGAGGGACAGGCAGCTGAGAGAGGGGTGGGGTGGGATGTGACCCTGTACCTGAGCCTTGCCAATGGGGACAGGCTCCTCAAAGATGGTCCAGAGGACGACCTCATCACAAGCTGGTGTGGTCAGGGACCCGGGGTAGCGGTAGTATCGGGAGAGGAGGGCATGGCCAGGCAGCAGCTTGTCCAGGCGGAAGGTGGATGCCAATTCCACAGACTCCCCTGTTTGCAGAGATGGAGAGGCAAAATGTGCCCAGGCCATCCCTCCCGCCCTCCCTCCCAGCCTGCCCCTCTTCCCAGTTGCCCCCACCTCACCTCCTTACTTCTGGCCCCTGACTCCCTGCCCCTTTCTTCTAAAGCCCTCACCCTGGTGAGAAACGTTCCTCAGCCCAGACACAATGGTGTTGTAGTTGGTATTGTCTTCATTCTGCACCTGCCCAAGGGAGGCAGGGTGGGCCTCATTGGCAAACAGTCATGATACATGCCCTTTCATTCATTCATTCATGGGCTGCCTCCCTCCTTCCTACTCTCTCTCTCTCTCTCTCTCCCCCTCTCCCTCTCCTCTCCTCTTCTCTCTCTCCTCTCTCATTCTCTCCTTTTTCCCCTCCCTTTCTCTTTTTCCCTCCCTTCTCTTTTCTCTGTCTCTCTCTGTCTCCATTTCTCTGTCTCTCTGTCTGTCTGTCTCTCTCTCTCTCTCCCTCCCTCTCCCTCTCCTCTCTCTTTCTCTCCTCTCTCTCTCTCTCATTCTCTCTTCCTTTTCCCCTCCCTTTCTCTTTTACTCTCCCTTCTCTTTTCTCTGTCTTTCTCTGTGTCTCTGTTTCTCTGTCTGTCTGTCTGTCTGTCTCTCTCTCTCTCTCTTTCTCCCCCTTGGCTCCCTCCCCCCACATAGACTATCTCTCACCCAGTTTCCCCACCTACTTTTCTCATACCTTCTCCCTCTCCTTGCAAGTGAGCAGCACAAACCAGCAGCCCATCCCCAGCCCTCTCCGTACCTTGAACAGGAAGGCTAACACAGCCAAGCCACCAGGATGGCCCCGGGCCTCCTCCAGACTCTGGTAGAGGGTGTTCATGTGGACCATGTGCATCTGGAGGAGACACAGACACAGCCATGGGGCTAGCTGGGTGAAACCCACTGGGTTTGCTTGAAGTGAGAGAACTCTGTGCCCCTCTGCCATGGAATCCGTACCCACTGTTCCTGTCCCAGTCCCCAGCCCCAGGGCCCTCACCTCCATAGGCTGACGCTGCCCATCCAGAGTGTGTTCAGAGCCATTGCCTGTGGGGCTGCCCCAGTGGAAGTGGAGCTGCAGGGCACAGTAGATGTGGGGCAGGCCTCCTCCCCGGATGCACAGCTGGCCCTGGGCTTGGTCCCGGACCCTGCCCAGGTTCAGCCTCACTGGAGGAAGGAGGGCACCATACATTCAGGAGTCAGCGTGGTATAGGACTTGCCTTGGCTCTATGGGATGCCCTGAAAACCTACACACACACACACACACACACACACACACACACACACACACACACGATCCCACCTCTTCATACAAACTCTGCTGAGTTAGAGCCATCTGGAAGTGCACGTGCGAGGGTAGGGTCAGAAACATGTGGCTGTGCCTGAAACCTCCCCTCGTGGACATTCCTAAATCCTTAGCACCCCTCAAACCCAGCGCTGGCCCCAGCATTTCCATGAAACTTTCTTCAGTCATAGAGGGACCACTGGGAGGAACCTTGAACCCACCTCCCCATACAACACCTTGATCATAGTAGGCATTTAATTCCATTCAAACCAACAAGCAATTCCTAAGTGCTGAGGATACATAAATTAAATTGTTCTTGTCCTGAAGGGGTTTATATTCTGCTTATAATTCTACTGAATTACATGTGCACAGACTGGATGGGTGCAAAGATAGATAGATAGATAGATAGATAGATAGATAGATAGATAGATAGATAGATAGATAGACAGACAGACGGATGATAAAGATATTTCAAGGGGTGGAAGGGGGGTGTCTCACTAAATGTTTGTTGAATTGAATTTTGGGAGATGTGGAAATGCCCAGAAAGGGACAGTGACTCACCTAGATTATACAGCTGGTCATCAAGAGAAACTGAGGCCCTCAGAGGGCTTGGGTTCTGAGCACTAACTGTGGGGTTGGGGGCTGCTGGGACAAGTGGGAACAGTGTGACACAGACCAGGAGGAGTTCCAGAGACTGCCGATCTTGGACTAGAACCTCTCTCTTCACTCTCCAGCCGAGGCTCTCAGGTTTCCCTGAGCTCGGCCAGCTGTTCACTCTCCAGCCTCTGTCATCAGGGACTCACCAGTCTAGCTGGCATTATTCTGTACTAATTCTGTGGTGTTTCTTAAACTTGTCTGTGAGTCCCTGGAGGGCCGAGACCCCCAACCTTAAAGGAAAAAAGTCTTTGTTGTCCACCAAGGCTTTTCATATAGTAGGTGCTCAATTATGGGCTGACAGTGACTGAATACGTAAATGGGAGAGGGGGCAGTGATTGACTCCCCTGCCCACCTTCCTCCATCAGGGTTTCCTGGGTCTGACCTATGTGTCTCTGCCTGTTGGGGGTGACTGACCAGTGTGTCCATCATTCAGGAGCCACCAGGGGCCTGGGGGTGCTGAGTCATATCCTTCAAATATAAAAGGGCCCAGGCCCAGGTCCAGCTTCACTTGGTGCCGGTCAATGTCGATGGGCGATTGAGCTGAGCCCCCACAGGTGTGGGCTACATCCTTCCAATGGGAGGGGCCTGGAGGCAGAGGGGGAGAAAAGAAAGAAAGATCAGGGTGCAGCACAGAGGAGCTGATCACAATGGCCCAAGCTGCACAAAGCCTGGCTGGTTCATCAGCTTTCTCTAGTCCTTCCATGGCCACCTAGGAAGTCATTGAGATACATGGAGAGCCTCGTGGAGCCCCAACTGAGGTGCCGAGAAGGTGGCCCCTGCTAGCTCATTCACACTGCACAGAGGTCTGTGCACCCACCTTCCTAACATCTCCACACACAATGCAATGTAGCCCTGCTTGGTGAACACACACACACACACACACACACACAGTCACAGAGTCACAACACACCTGATGGAGCAGGAACTTCAGAGGTCAACCTGCTCAACCTGTGTCTGCACAGGAATCCCCTTAACTAACAACATTCTCCTCTGATGGTCTTCCAACCTCCAGCAAGGGCCAACTCACCATCTCCAGAAGTGGCCGAGCCCCCTTTTGGAGAGCTGTCACTGGGAGGAAGTTTTCTTTGACTTCCAGTCTAAAGTTGCCTGTCTGTGACTCCCCCCACACACATACACAAACCCCTCCCTTTGCACTGACACCCCTACCATCTTTCTACTCACCACATTGGGGATTCTGGAAATCATAGCACCAAGAGCCTGTAGGAGACATATGCAGGGGGGCGGGGGGTTAGAGCTGAAGTTGTCCCCCACACACATTGTTCTCTCTTAGACTGGGGGAGAGGTGGCCCCACACAGAAGAAGCCCTTATGTCTCTACCGATCTGTTGTCAGTCAGGCTGTTTTTCTGCCTCTGTCCCTGGGTGGCTGCCTTCTCCCCCACCCCACCCCCACCTCCTGCCAGAGAGATAGACACAGAGACTGGCAGGTTCAAATGGAAGGTCCTTCCGGTCCAGCTGCTCCAGCCCAGCAGGAAGGTGTGATCTGCCCTGGTCTGAAGGATGCCATTAGGAAAAGAGAGAGAGAAGGGAGGGCAGCGAGGGGAGCTGGGAAGAAGGGATGGGGGAGGGACCCACAGGGCCAGAAGGGACCCATTGGTCTGAAACAACCCAGAAGAAGGGGGTGGGGTGTTAAGGGAAAGGCTTCAGGCTCTTGCAAACCCTTGGGAACTCGGCAAGGATACCCACATGGAACAATGCTGCCCCATATCTGGGGGAAAGAGAGAGAGAGGGAGACAGAGACAGAGACTCGGTGAGACAGAGATAGAAACCTAGACACACAGAGAAAGACAAGGACGGAGAGACAAGTGTAGGAGAAAAGAGAAAGAAAACCAAACTCGGAACGCACACTCACTGAGTCTGGGACAGAACAGACACAGGGAAAAGTAGAGATCACGGAGGGCTCAGATTGGGGTGGGGAGTGGGGGGGAGGGGTGGCCCTCTGGCCTCTCACCATCGGGGGCCGCCTGGACAAGCAGGGGCAGCGTGAGCCAAGCAAACGGTACTCCCGGGGGTTGCATGGCCAGCCTGGGGGCGCAGGGCTCCTAGGTCCCGCTGGGTGGGGCTGAACCCCAGAATCCCACTGCCGGCCGGACAGACGGACCTGCCTGCCTGCCGGAGGGGATGAAGGATGGAAGAGCTGACCGACTAGAGCCGCTGCTGCCGATGCCGCCTCTTAAATATCCTGGCTCGCTCAGGAGGGGAAGGGTGGGGGGAGTTAACTCCTTCTCTCCTGGGGCGCCCAGTCTCAGTCAGCCCGTCCTACACACGGGCCTCAGGCAGGGCCCCAGGGCGTTAAGACCACCAACCGAGCCGGATCCCCAAGCGAGACTGGGAGGAGAAAGGAGCGGCCCCAGGATGCCCACATTGGGTGGGCAGGGCTCGAAGGATGCTCCAGACAGGTGGGAGAGCCAGAAGAGGGAGGTGTCCTGGAAGCTAGTTGGGAGGCGGGAGTGCGGAACGCACCCTGGAGTAGGGGGAGGCGGTAATGCACTCGAGTTAAGAGCTGCGGCAGCAAGCTGCGCTCTAAGGTCAGGGGAAAAGAGTCCGGAGTTGGGAGCGGAGCAAGCTGGCTGAGATCTGGTCCTTGCTCTGCCACTAACTTGTCTCTGCTTCTTAGAAACCTTCTCTTCCTGTCCAGCTTCCTTCAGGTGCCACTTGTGCCACAATGAATTCCCTGCTCTCCCCCACCCCTGGTTAGGGTTCCATTTCTCTGCCCCACCCCCTCCTTTGGCCCCGGCACTCCCTGCTCTGTAATCTAGTTCTTTGTAGAACTAACAGCAAAACCTCCATCGGAATGTAAGCTCCTGGAGGGCAGGAACTGTGTGTTGAATTGGGTGCCGGGTTCACCTGCCATGAGGATTTGGACAAGGTGATTTCTAAGGTCTTCTCCAACTCTGACATTCCATTCTAAGGTACCCCCAGACCCCACTCTCAGCTCTGACTTTCTACATTCTAAGGTTCGGAATGTTTGTTGATTAGGTACCTCCATCCCCAGCTCTGATATTCTCTATACTAAGATACATCCAGGTTGGACATTCTAGGATTTATGCTCCTCTCCCACTCTGATATTGGGTCTAGGGCCCCTCCCAGCCCTGACATTCCACGTTCTAAGGCCCCTCTCCTCCCGACCCTCAGTTCTGATGTTGTCCAAGAGATCAAAGATGTGGAGTGAGAAAACGTTCACTGAATCAGGCAATTAGGAGCTAATTGTCGACCTCAGAGAGAGTTGCTTCGATGTTATTGTGGACGTGGAAACCAGATGCTGAGAAGGTAGGAGCAATGGAGAAGCAGAAGAATGCAGAGGGTTCTTTCCATAAAGGATCTGGAAAGAGATGGGAGAGCCAGAGGTTTCAAAGCTGAAAGGGATATTAAGGATAATTTGATCTATGCCCCTCCTTTCACATATGGGAGAGCTGAGGCTCAGAAGAGTGATTTGCCCAAGGCAGTAGCACAACCAAGATTCTCAACCAGGTTCTCTGATTCCAAGCCCAGGACTGCTTTCACTACCTTGAAGGATGTGAGGGTCACAGGAAGGTTGGGGGGTTCGTGAATGGAGGGTAACTGGGAGGGGGGGACTCAAGGCTGTGCAGGGGAAGGAATATTACTCAGATCCATGAAAAAAAAAAACAGGATCACTGTAGTGACCAGGAGCTCACACACACACACACACACACACACACACACACACACACACACACAC